CGGACCTTCTCTCCCAGGAGGGATCAACTGAGTCTTAAACTGAGCCAGGGATTCAAACAGGAGGTTTGAATCCCAGATCCTCTGCTTCAAATCAACAAATAAAATTTCCCACTGTGCCTGAACTAATAGTCTGTCTTCCCCTCATCTTCCAGTTCTGGTCGAGCAGAGTTCAGAGAAACTCTGCACCAAAACATCCTCAGTTAAACCCGTCAAACTTTTCATCCGTGTCTCTCTGTTTTGGTTTCACTGCATGTGGGTCCGAACCTTAGATAAATCATGACAGTTTGTAAAAATGGCAGCTCCCTGCCTCTGCAGTAGGGTGTCTTGGTGTCATTTTGTACTTCTCCAACTTACATTGGAGCTCATGGTCAACTCAAAGAGCCAAAGCTGCCCAGCTTGTGTTTAATTCTCTCCAAACACAGTGCTTTACTGTCAAACCTTCATCTGTTAAAAGAAAGTTTCTCCAGGCATCTCGTTCTTTCAGATGCAACTTGTGAAAACCTTAATTTTGGCATATTTTTAAAGTTTCCTTGGAAACCTTCCCAAAAGAAACATTGTACCGTTATAAACTTTAACATTTATCATGGTAACTAGAAGCTTGTCTGGTTGAGATTGAGCTCTTGGATTTTGTGTAATTATTTGCACAGTCTGACCTTTGGGTGAATTTAATGAAACATCAGCTCCTGGGAAAATTGCCAATTTAAAATGTGTGAGTATTCGTTCTTTCAGTATTATTGAAGAATTTAAGGTCTTTGAAAAATGACTTGTGACCCTTCGTAAATTGATTGGTAGGTCCCTGATGTCTCTGCAGACGGGAGAAACAACAATAACTGCTTCGTTCATAGAGGTGGTCACATTAACAATTATCCTAAAAATGACTGCAGGCTGTTACTTGGCTTAGATCCTATCAAGGTGTTAGGAGTCTACTTTTCAAAAGCAAGTTTTAACAAAAAAAAAAATGCATTTCTGGCTTGTTTTTGCCAGAGAAAAGCGTAAATCTATGATAACAGATGAATGAAAGTAACTGATGAAATATTTGTGATCTGATTAAAAGATAAAATTCCTAAACTGAACGAGGGTGTTCTTTCATTTTTCAGAAAGCAACTTTGATTTTAAAGATCAGACGCGTCCGGATAGAGGGTGGGAGCCATTCTGATTTAGCTTGTAAATATATTTTTAGGCCTGAGCAGCGACAGCGCTGCGAAGGCCTATTGTATTTCGAAAGTTTCTTATTAGGCCCGAGCAGCAAAGCGCTGCGAGAGCCTATTGTATCTGTATGGTTTCTTATTATTATTCTTTTGCCCATTCGAACGCATTTTAAGGGGACTTCGCATATTCAAAAACTCACGAAAACGTGACAGTAAATTGTCCCCCGCGTGAAATAGCCGGTCTATAATGGAAACCAAAATGGCCGCCCCCAAATTACGCCACAGCGCCCCCTAACGTGAGTTGGGGGAAACTGTAAGTCACAGAGATTTGAAATTTGGCACACAGGTAGATCTCCTCAAATCACGAAAAAAAGTCTCTTGGAGGTATGCCCTAAAACCCACAGGAAGTCAGCCATTTTGGGTCAAAGTGCGAGTTTTGGCCATTTTCATTGTTCTTGGTTTTACTATATGTGCCTGGAGCTGTGTTTTAAGACGCCTCAGAACAGAAATCTGATCTGTCAAAGCCCATTAAACGAGGAATAAATCCTCAAGGTCAGCGTTTCTATTAGAAACCAGTGAAATGAGAGATTTTCAGAATCACAGACAAAAACAAGCCACATTCATAAAAAGTTCCATTTATTTCCAAGTGGTTTTATTTACAAATCTTACAAATATGCATTATTTGAGTGTAGACCCGCATCAGAAAGATGAATAAAACATCCCTAAAAATAACCCATCAGCGTTCAATTTCAGATGCCTGTTTTAAAAGCTGAAGAACAAACGAGCAACAAGCCTGTACCGAACCAGCGAATGCATTACAGGCCCATTCCTGCTCTACAGGATTACTGGGTGGAGGGAATTCAAATGTGAGTCCATCTTGGCTTTGAGTTAATCCCATCAGAGCCAGCAGCAGTGCATCGCGACTACAGTACTCCCAAGCCTGCTGATGAGAGCCCACAGTGAAAGGAAGAGGGACGCATGACACAAGAATGAGGGGAATCTTCGTTAAAAAACACTACAAAACACTCGCTTCTAATGCACAAAGCAAACTATTTATACAGGCTCTTAAAGCACCACATCTTATAATACTAAGTGGTAACATTTAATTGAAAAGAAAAGTTACACAGATAGAAAACTAAAACAAGACATTATGGAGTTAGTGCTCCTTTAAAGCTCATGAGGCCATTTCAAATATATGTATATATATTCCCTGGGATACTAAAAATAGCCTGAGTTATCCTCTTTAATTATTATGCATGTCCATATGACATGGCGGCCGCCTCTTTAATTACCAAAGACGTGCTTTAATGCTATCGTCATTTCAGTCTGGGTCTAATATCCTCCTCCTTTATGGAAAACAAAAGGAACACCTGAAAAATATCTATCACACCAGTGTTTTCAAGCCTATATGTTAATATCAAGATATCTGCCATCTTTTAATAAAGTCTTATCAGTACGAGGACTGGGCTGGTCAGAAGTTTACTTGCACTCAGGTTTTAGGAAGAACCTCTTTCACTCTTTCCAAACCAGTTTTATTTCCTCTTTGAACACTTTACTGTGTCCAAGTTTTAAAGGAGAAGTTCGGTCAGCAAGGACTAATCAACGGATCATTATCTATACCTAAAACTAATATGTTTGCAGTGATTTAATTAATTTTGCGTTAATCAGGAAAAAAAAGAAAAAAAAATGTCAGGATTTGGGACATTTTTGCCCAAATATA